ATCATAAAATGGTTTATAATTCTTCTTCTTCTTAGCACTTCTGAACTAATGTTTTTGTATTTTCTTAACTAATGACGTCCTTTATTTTTAATTATAGTGCTAGCATTCACAAATTCATCACCTTGCTTCACACAGCAAAAAGTATATCAACGTTTGAATTAAAAAAAGTAGACATTTTTGCCGATATTAAACCTGAAAAATCATTTTAAGCTACCATATGTTAACTGTTTACAGCCCAATTTTGAAAGTGATAAGTATTGTTTTTTTGTAATTATTGCCGAAAAGTAGGGAACTTCACGCGAATACATGTTTAATTCTTCAAACTATAAATTTTCACTGGACCAAAGCTGGTAAATATCACGGCCGTCATGTGACAATGACAAAACAGGTCCTCAACACTATCCCGAGACGAAACGACTGATCATTAGCTTTCTTGTCATTTTCCAATGATCAAGCACTCATGAAAATTATTCTTCTGCGGTTTTGACATGAACATTTTGAACTGATTTAGATGAATTTAAACAAGTAACCTACACACTACGAAAATGTCATTTAAATTTAGGTTCCCTGAGACCGACACATGTAAGTGGCCCTTTTGACATAAGAATCAGTTGAAAGAAACAAGAAAATCAATTCAATGAAACGTTCTCTTCGTCGATTTGCTAATGTTTCGGTTTGAGAACACTTAATTTTACATGAAATGTTTGGTTACGTTCCATGATTTACGTCCAATATGGATTACGTCTCGTGTGAAACTAGTTATTTCTTAGTGTGTATGTAATGTGAATGAAAATATTTTTAAGATTTCCTCGGTACAAGTAACTTTAATAGCAATACATGAGCAAGTAATCACGATGATCACAACACTGTCACGTTCTGTCATGACAAAAAAATCGTTGAGATTTTGAAAAAAAATCTCTGTCATCGTGTTCTTATCCGAGGATAGTAAATATCGCGAGAGATCTTTCATTGAAAATGACATTTGCCAGCCTTGTCACGTGTACATTTTTTTTCAGTTTTCTGTCTCTGTGGTAAACTCACCAATTTCATCAAACTTTTATTTCATATGATTTCGTAGGTGTAAAAGTACCATGCGGAAACTATGCAGTGTTTTAAGCTGACCTTGCATCGTTCCATTCGCAAGAATTTTGCAAGCATGACGATAAATGAAATCGAGCGCTTATCGATACCTGTAATACCCAAGGTTTCAACCCTCCCTACATACTAAATTCAGATCACCGAATTCGGCACTGAGTTTTTGAACAGCTGAAAAAGCCGGTCAAATTTCAAATGACAGTTACATGTAAGACATCAATAAAATCGACAAATTTTATTTTTTATCCAAATGGGGTTAGCTGAACAAAGTCTGTAAAAGTTGATTTTTTTTTAAATCTTTATTATAGTTTAAATTAAATTATCTATTTTTTTTTAATTTTGTGAACAGTTCCGTACTTGAAAAATTAGTCGAGGCCTGTATCAGTGTGTACGTTTCTCAACTGAGGCTAATTGAAAGTTTCTGCTCAAATCCCAACCCAAAGATCTACTCCAATTACTTTGTAACAAAAATCGTGCAAAGATCGATCGAAATGGCTAAGGAGGGGCTAAGCAACAATAAGCACGTTTTACAAACGAAAGTACTCGTTTGGTTCTATTTTACGTATTTTTTTCTAGCTTTTTACGCTGCTTTTACTGCATTTGTTTATTGTTGTGGCCATAAAAATTACATGAGATTTTCGACATGATTGAAGTGCATCCTCTTGGATGTAATATTAAAATTTATTTTTTGCTGTTTAGGCAATATTGCTGGTTGAAAATGCTCTTGATTGGCTTCTGACCAACTTGAACATACTAGTTTAAAAATCCTTTCAAAAGGTACGATGATGGAGGTAAGAGATTAGATAAAGTCCGCTAGATTATATGCACAGATTGTCAGATGCTTATGGGATGTTACCATTGGAGTAAAGATTTGCAGAGTTGCCGTAATAACCAATGCTTACTGAGCATTGACTTTTTCGCTCCACAGTGCTTAAATGGTTTCAAATCGGGTCGTGATTAGCCTCCCAAAGTTACAACTCATTTGGTTAGAAACAGGCTTCGCACAAGCCATTTGAAGTTTAAATGTAAATTACTATGGGAAATCTCAACTTTTTGTTCATTGCCTTCTAGTCTTTTTTTCCATATTGAGCTGCGAAACAGTTCGATAGCCATTCTTATAGAAATTTTTTTCAGCTACAACTTTGCTGAAAATCGTTTCTATGTAAAACGAGACAGGCAAAAGTTATTAATTATTTAAGAGATTGGTAAACTTATGTCATGATCAAGCAGCTGCTCTGTAGGCAACACTGTATTTTGCAGTGTGACATAGTAGACATGATTTTTGTGTCCTATTCAATGCCCCAGAAACACCAATGTTGCCTGCTGAGCAGTTGATTGAGCATGATCATAAGACATCAGCGCATTGAACCATTGATAACTTTCGATCCTTGCATTTAATCAGCATAGTTGTAGCTGGGAAAATTTCCTACAAGTACAGTTGAAAGTTTTTGAAGCAGACCGATATGGTGAATTATTAGATAGACATGAACAAAAATCTTGGTTTTACCTTAGTAATTCCCATACAAACTTCAAATGGTTTGTGCCATCTCAGTTTCTCACCAAATGGATTCAAATTTTGAGAGGTTAGTCAGGATCCAATTTGGAATCGTTTAAGTATTGTGGAGCGAAAATTTCAAATTTTGCATCACTCTACTGAGCATGCAACCATACATCTACTTTTCTTTCATAATAGTCAATGTCACAAACGAATATAAAGACTTTTTCCGCGAATTTCTCTAGAATGGAAACTCACTTAAATAAACCACCACGATGATTGTGGAGAAGGAGAGTCCCTCTATCCGATATAAAGGGTGTCCCACATCAAATTGAATCACAGAAGAAAAAAAACACTGTAGAAAATTACCTAGTAAACCGATTCTTTTCAAACTTTCAGACAAAAAAATAAAACCCATTAGTAAGCTTTTTGCATATTTATTTCATTCAACTTTAATACCATAACCGTACGCTCACACTTCACGGTTAACTCCACTCATTAGGTTCCGTACAATATCTGGCTGAAGCTTCTTCTGTACGGAAACCCACTTTTTCTTCGTGTCTTCCTCAAATTTGACCTCCTTGGAATGCTGTGTGTTGGGGGGGTTCATGTCCTTGGGTACGAAAGTGACCCCGTTGGCTTCGTACTACTCCATGAAAACATTTAAAAAGTGGCACGAAGCTAGATCCGGCCAGAAGAGCCCTCGTGTTGCTTCAACAGAGCAAGCAGACACTTCTGTAGACACTCCTTGAGGTAGATCTTCCCGTCTATAGTCCCGGTAGTCACGAACGGCGCACTCCGTTTGCCACATGAGCAGATTGCTTGCCAAATCATGTATTTCTTGACAAACTTTGAAAGTTTTTGTTTCCTTACTTGCTCCGGAACATCAAACTTGTGCTGGGCGATGAAGAACAGTAGCCCCGGAAGCTGCCGAAAGTCCGCCTTGACGTAAGTCTCATCATCCATGATGAGACAATGAGGCTTCATCAGCGTCTGGGTGTACAGTTTCCGGGCCCGTGACTTTCCCACCGTATTTTGCCGTTCGTCACGATTTGGAGCCTTCTGCACTTTGTACGTATGCAGTACCTCCCGGTTATTGGCTCTCTGAACGAAAGACTTTTGGCCTCATCCCTGACCGAAACATTGGGATTCCGCTTAAACGCTTTCACGACACGCTTGTGATCCTGATCACTAATAGAACAACCAGTCTGACCGCATTTCTCCTTCCGTTCGTCGTTTTTTTCCATGATGCAATTTGATGCGGGACACCCTTTACATGGATTGAATGTGAACTACGCGATGTTTACAAAAGAAGCATCAAAGCAAGTTTTCTTAAAAAATGCATTTACAAAATACCAAATAAATAATGTTCAACATTTCCATCTTTTTGTCTTCTCACGGAAACAAACAAGGTTTTTAAAATTTTATCTATGGGATCCCCTGTATAGACTTACGTAGAGACCTTTAGGTTAAAGCTAAAGTAACAAGTTTGTTTAAAGCTTATAGGTAGAGCTTAAAACTGGCCAAAGAAAGCATTAAGCTCAGTAGTCAAATAAAAAGGAGGGACTGAAAGTGTGTGGCCATTTTATAACTTGAACAGTCCTTAAAAATCGTCAAAAGTGTCAAAGTAAGTTGTATGGGAGAAAGCCAGCCACGTGGTGAATGCTTTTGAATATTTTTGCAATCGAGCAACTGGTTCCAGAGATACACCTGAAAAAAGTAAAACTCATCATGTGACACCTCAAATGATATGATAATTCAAAAACCAGTACAATGGTAGTCATTTGAAGTGCCCAGGACCTCACTGGTCACATCTGGCTATGATCCGGTAGCCCAAGAGAATTGACCAGTTTCTGACTATGGCCAAAATCACATGAGAATTCATCTTAGAATTTATATTAGTAAGAAGGGTCAGATCTCACCATAGGTGAGTTAATTCAGGTTTTTTTTTAAATGTTTATAACCAGGAATGCGGCCATTTATTTGCGATAAAAACTTGTTTTTCAGAATTGTGAAATCATTTGATAGTATTATGATGTTTTGTACTTGTAAGTTACAAGAAGAGGCTATTATTTATGTGTGTTGACACATAAAATCTGTCAATTTTGCTTTTAGAGTGTCACAATCAGCAATTTTATGATCGGTGGATATTCCAGCTTCATGAATATTCATTGATCTTCAAATTATGGCTCTCTGAAATCAAAATTGACGGGTTGCATGTGTCAAGCACATTCTTTACGATCTCTTCCTGTATCTTGCAAGTGCAAAATATTATCATTACATCTAATGTTTCATAATTCCGAAAAATCTCTTTTTACAGCAAACGAATAACCGCAAGCCTGTTTAAAGTTACCCAGAAATGCCAAGTCCTAATGAAGATTCTCAAAATTACTCTCATTTATAATTGCAGCTACTACTGATGTTAGGGCAACAAACTGGCATGGTATGTTTAATTTACTGCTAAAATCAAACACATTCTAACCCTTCCGTGGGTATGATTAAATATATTGCTTTAATTGAAATGAAAGTTTGATCCGAATAAGGCTGAAGAGAGTTCTTGATTGACTGACCAAAAGAAAGAAGAGCGGAAGGAATTGCAAATGTAGCGTTTGCTTCCGAATACCTGCTCAAACTTGTGAATCCACAGCACTATTGGCAATGCGTGAAGCACTATAAATTCACCGTCAGCAAATCAGCACCTCATCAATTTAATCTCTCGCAACCACAAAATGATTTACCAAATCATTAGTGCATTAGCGACTCCCACTGTTTTCGTTCTGATTTACTGAGCGTAACCAACTTCCATATATCATCTATCCGGGACACTCGCTACAAATGAAGATAGATTAATTGTTTGACAGTCGACCAAAAGTCGGCGCAATGTTTAAATGCAACGCCCTCCGTAAACGCGCGATCGACCTCCGGAAGGAACCTCCCATCAACCACCACCGGAGAGAGCTTGCACCACAAAGGCTCATCTTCATAGGAATGGGAACAATTTTGTCGAATTAGTTCTTGTCTTGCTGCCGGTAATTTATCAAACTGGTGGTACGCACAGTCAGTGGCGGCTGTAAGAATGGGAAATAAACAACGACACTCAAATGATTCATGGAATGTTGGCAGTCAAATGGGTAAAAACTGCCGTCGAGCATGTGGAAAAAATAAAAGTGTGAAGGAACACGAATTCCAGCTGCGTTGCTATTTGGGTCCCCGAACTGGGCTTGGCAGACAAGGGAAAATTTAGAACGAAATCGGTTTGGTGCACGGTGCACCAATTTTGCATCAAAGGGACTTTGAATGTTGCTGCATATGCCTGTCAACAAGTTTCATTCAGATCTGAGAGGCATCACTAGCAATGGGAAAAAAAAAGTGAGGTCTAAAATTACAATCAAGCTCATTTGGTTAGTCCATCCGTGTCGAACCACTCGATCGTGATTTGCACTTCTCTCTCCTAACGATGCGCTGCGGTGGCGATCAGTATAGAACCTGTGAATGAAAATTGCATCCAAGTGGAAAACGAGACTGCTTGGCAGTATGAAAAGCGACGTATAGAACCAGAATTAAACAATTAGTTCAGCTCAATTTATGCCGTGTGTCGCGGACGAATGAAGCAACGATAAATTAAAATTAACAAGAAATAAATCTTCGCTCATCATCATCGGTAGTGACGGCGGAACGCACTCGGTATGAAACCAGGAAAGTCAGCGTTACACGTTGCTGGGGAGATTCACCAGTAATTAGAAGACGATTGCGAGCTCTAATTGGTGTTTCTGTTCATAATGTGAAATTTTTAATATTGATTTTAAGGAGTTTTTGTGATTTGAGAAATTTTTAATTATGAACCCTTTAATATCAATTATGCAACAGATAGGGTTGCTTCCACTCACATTGCAATAAGAAATGTTTTTTTTAATTATGAAACAATTGGATGCTGTAATGATATGTTATACTTGTAAGCTGCAAGAAGAGATTAGCGACGTCGGTGGTTTACCTAGTTGTTGGCGAGATTACCTTTCACGCCAAAAGGCCTGGATTCAATTCCAATCGGCGCCGCCGAGATTTTCTGAGGCAAAAAATATCTGATCACGCCTTCCTTCAGAAGGGAAGTAAAGCCGTTGGTCTGCGGTCTATGAGTGAGCTTATGGAGTCGATAGGTAGGTTCCAGGTGTGGGAGCTGCATCCCTTGCGTCGGTAGCATTGGTACTCAGTACGGAAAACAAGATCGACGAAAACAAATCAAGGAAAAAGAAGAAGAAGAGGTTGACAAGTATGTGTTTGTCACATCAAACCTGTTAATTATGCTATCAAGAGTTACAATCAGCGATTTTATGATTCGTGAGCGTTCACTCAGATTGCAAAAATCGCTGATTGTGACTCTCTGAAAGCGGAATTGAGAATTTTTATATACTTTTCAGCCTCTTATTGTAGCTCACAAGTACAAAATATCATTATTGCATCCCATGATTCCTTAATTCCGACAAATATTTTTTAAAGTGGAGTGAGTGGAAGCAACCCTGCATGCAGCAATTGGAGTAGCGGTTTAATAATAAATTAAATTGTGACATCATGTGTGTCACAATGTGACAGGTAACAGCATAATTAGTTTCAGTGACAAATGCATGCATATCGTCAGTATGAAAACTGCCTACTCCATATCATATGAATGGAAGAATGAGAAGTTAAGACAAGTACAGTTAGGTAGAGAAGATTACGTGATAATTTATCGCCTTCATGAAAAATGTCGCTGTAATGTTCGTCTTTTGCTGTGAACACCCAGTAATCATACCCTTATACTACAACTTTATTAATATCTTTCCGTCGGAGTCATTTTAAGATCTGCAAATTTCAGCTATCAAGAGTAAATTATCTAAAATATGCAACTCCAATTATTGGATAAGCCACTTTATTTGAGTGATTTGGATTAGGACAAATTTGTTTTGTTGAAAAAATTAAAAATGGTGGTGATGTGGAAAAAAGTGTATTATTAAAAATCATGGTTAGTCGACTACCGATTTATCAAGTTTGTACTAGAGTTGACTAACAGGCATCAGCGCAGCCAGTGGGAGGGAGAACGACAGCACCCTCTATGTCAGCAACATTAAAGCGTTTGGTCAAATGGCGTTCGGCCAAATCCTCCATAGTAAAACAAATTCAACAATAACCCCCACCCTCATAGTTTGAAACTGACAGAACAATATAACCAGCTGAAATGGTGCATCGAAGTTGAGGCCAAAACTTCTAGCGCCATGTGAATGCTTTCTCTCAGTGCTGAAAATTATGTTTTCACGCTACTACATTGATAAAATTATTTGAGACATTTTCACTGGAAGAATTGACTCTCGCATAAACCTTTGTTAAAATCTCATTAACTTTTTCGTCGAAGATTTACAGATAGATTAGCCTGGGAACAAAAAGTGTAATTTTGTAAATTATTTTTCATATGATTGTTATCCAGGCAGTAACGGACTTAGATTTTTGTTCACTTTGACGACTCCACGGATTTGTTGGCTTATTTCATTTAATTTCATTACATTACATTACGTTACGGGATGTAAGATCTACCACCGATTCCTAGTCTTGACTACTTCAAACTAGGGGAACAGGATTTTTCAGTAATCAAAGGAACACATCTTAGTCCTTGTTACTTTGTATGCCTTGTTGATAGTGATAAGTCCTCGGGTTGCCTGGACCGAGGATGATCTTGAAACAAGGAAAAAAATGAGTTAGTTAGTCTTCATCTATGTGATTCCTAATCTTCTATTCGTTGTTCCCTAGTTTGAAGTGGTTAAGACTAGGGTTCTGATGCATGGTCACTATCGGTGTCACTCTTTAATTTTGTTGCTAAGGAATCCAATTTTGACTGACAAAGGGGCGCGCCTTTGGAGGGTTTTCCAACACTCCGAAGGGTATAAATAGTGGGACCTTTCAATTAGAATCGGTTCCTTGCAATGAAGGCAAGAGTGACAACTGTATCAAAACCGAATACGTCATCATTTCTAAATAGTGATGAAGTAATACGACATGCACTAAACTAAGGACACGGGATATACTACAATCGATCAAATTACTGGTCGCAGTAGTTTTATGTCCCGAACAGAGGAGAAAAAAGTGCCTAAATCATTAGTTTTAGGTATATAGTGTCTTCACGAAAGTTACAGCCAATATTTCTATGTCGGGTGACAAATTTTTTTTTTATAGAATGACTATTTTTTTAAGATTCATAATTTTGAAACCACTGGGCCGATTTCAAAGATCAACATATCACATGAAAGGTAATTAAACACTTGTTTTGAAAAACATAATAATATTAAAAGATTGGGATTTTTACATTGAAAAACATTGATTGTAGGGTAGAGAACTACTTCGGCCTAATCGCCCATTTTGGGCCTATCGAGCAGACAACTTCATATAAATCCATGATTTCAGAGTTAACAAGTCAATTATGCGTTTGGTACGATACTTTAGTTTAGCTAATAAGCTACCGAACGAAGTCAATGAGAACGCGTGATATGAAGGTTTGCACACATTATTCCCAAAAACAAAAGAAGCGCTCCGACCGAATCAATTTTTATCTTCATCCGATAGGCCGAAGTGAATTCATTGGCGTTTCAATGGCGTTGCAATGCGTTAGGCCGAGTTTAGAATCCGTAGGCCGAGTTTGGCGTCAAGAAGCAGTGTTAGACTTTTGACAATATCTCAACGATTGGTATCTCTTTATCAAATCTTACGGTACGTACGGAAAGGTAAATAAATTTGGAAGCCATCAGTAATAATAACATTCCGTTTGGTGCTAAACTGCGCTAGATTAAGAAAGACTAAGTGTGAGCTGTGCTTGATAGGCCGGAAATGGGGTAGTTAACCCTATATGTTTTTATGGTTTTCATGGTTTGTAGACAGAGGGCGCAATATGTTTTTATTTTTTACCTTGAAAATATAGGGTTTTTTACACAACATATAAAAAAAATCAGCGATGACTTATTTATTATGGCTGAGATTATGTGACTATGTTAGCTATGTATCAATGGAGACGCATGGTAGTCTAGTCGCATAGGAGTATTGAGCAAAAACCCAAAACATGATAACATCAAAAAAAAAATAACTCAAAACGAAAAAAAAACGCATCGCTAAAAAAGTCGAAATTTCCAAGGAAAAATTATCAAACATATAGCACACTCTGTTTTTTTTTCGAAATTCTGAGAACCACTATATCTTTTTGCTATGAAATGGCTGTACAATGAAAGCTAGTCCTTCTCTTTTTCTTTATTATGAAGGATGCAATTTTCTATCTCTAATGGTTCACGATTTATACTTGTCTTTAAAAAGCTGTGTTGCAATTGTTCATTTCAGCTGAAATGCTGCTTTTCGAAATTATGAAATTTTGATACATTAGATATTACAATAATAATTTATATAGGGTTACGGTATGTAATGTGGGTCTAGTCC